ATTAATTGGACTGTCGGGCTTTGGAGGGAGGGTAGAGGAGGGTGGGGGTAAAGGGGAAAGAGCAACCAAAGGACTTACATGCAGGCATAGAGGCCTAACCAATGGACACGGACAATGGGGGGGTGGAGGGGGGGTTGGAGGGTGATGTGGGGCCAGGGACACCCCTTCCTCTCTGAAATCAATAAAAAATATATTAAAAAAATAATCAACAGAAAATACATAAAAATACATATTGATACATGAAACTACCACATGCTTTCCTTTTTCATTCCTCCAACTTCACTAAATTAGTAAAAATGTCATTATCTCCCATGCATGTTAAATGAACTAAAAACAATAAAGAGAATGAATTTCTATTATTAGAGATAATAGAATTCTGTCCTGTCCAATACTTTGTTGATGATAGAACAGGGTTATTTTATTTTTTGTGGTAGTGGAGTGGGTGTGCAGAGACAGAGATAGAACACTGAACAATAAAGCTGAAATGCTATGGATTTCAACTGAAAATTTATTTGCCCTCAAACTGTCCTGTTTGGTAATGGACTGTTAATATTTGCAACAAAGCCTTTCCTTCTCTTTCCTCACAAGCTATAGCTTAAACAAACCAACAAAATAAACCCTGGATGAATTGTTTGCATGGACAAAGAGAACCTGAGAAAAATCCTACAGAAATACCCCTTCACCCACAGATATTCACAATAGCAAGACATCTAGAAAACACCAAAGTCAATAAGAAATAGTTGTAGAAATTTTCATATTATGCAATATATAGCCATTGAAAGAATGCAGTAGACTATGCATACAGGTACATGAGCTAATGTGGAAAGATTCCTAAGACACTGTAAGTTAAAAAGTACCAAATTACAGATTACTACAATTATGATTCCATTTATCCTAACTAACCACATACACATAGGGATGAGTGTGTGTGTGTGTGTGTGTGTGTGTGTGTGTGTTAATGGGCAGAGGAGAAAAAAAAACTATTAAAAGTAAATACCTCTGGAGAAAAGAGAGATATAAAAAGAGGAGAGACAAGTGCAAAGGAGGACCATTCATTTTTCCCTCATAATCTAGAATCCTGTTTTAGTGTTTTATGAGAACATAATATTTATTAAAGAACAAAACACAGGAAAAAATTATACTCAAAACTAACTATCCATACATTCCTCATTTGTCAGCCATAGGAAGATAAAATCACAGAAGAGTCAAAGGATGAGAGGCAATCATTCAGTCCATTCTCATCAAGGGATTCCAAATCATCCTTAAACCATCACTGTGAGAACCCAGAGCTCACTCTTGTAGGACAGAGGCAAGGCTGGCAGGGACAGGACTGCCTTGTGCAGTGACGAGTCATTCAAAACCCATCAACACAGGCAGGTCCCGTGGTGCCCGGCACAGAGGCTGACCTGCGTCGATGGCTTGCATCAAGCACTCATACGTGGTCTGAACCAGCTTCAGCGCCCCTTCGTCCACGTCGCCAACAAAGAACGTCTCATTCAGGTCCCCGTGATAACCATTGCGATAAAGAGTGATGTCCACTGCAAAAGAATGTGCAAATATAAAGAACACATTTGGTTTTGGTTTTGTTAATCCTCACCCAAGGATATTTTTTCCATTGATTTTTTTTTTTTTTAGAGAGAATGGAAGGAAAGGAGGGGGAGAGGAGGGAGAGGGAGGGAGGAAGACAGCAATGTGAGAGAAACGCATTGATTGGTTGCCTTCCGCACATGCCTTGACTGGGGCCAGGGAATGAAACTGCAACCCAGGTATATGCCCTTGACCGGAATTGAACCCTCGACCCTTGGGTATGCAGGCCAACATTCTACCACTGAGCCACACTGGCCAGGGCTTAAGATTACATCTGTTTTTATTTCAAAATCAAAGTCATTTCTCCCAACATGACAGCATCAAGCAGCTTATGAGAAAGATAATTCTGTATTCTCCTATTAGACCCCAATAGATGTATAGTTGCTGCCCAACAGACACTTCTTATCTACAATACAACTGAACTCACTGTGGAGAACAGAGACATGGTCACGCAGCACAAGCCAGACAGTGGACTTTCATTACTCTTATAGTAGTAACAGACCATTATGGCAGAAGAAAAATGCATCCAGGACACATTCATGCAAGATCAATAATCTGAGTTAATGATATTAAATGGAAGACTTTGTTACATTTGACATTAAACAGAAAATACTGCTTTAATTTATTCAACCAGTTTTTCTTCCTCTTGGTGAATCAATAAATAGAAAAACTTACCCTACTCTTCACTTATTTTTTAAAAACTCATTTGCCTTTCGCTTATTTGTGAATATTCATCCTTCTCTTTGTCCCCATGTTTAAGAATACAGATTATTGCTCCAGCCAGTTTGGCTCAGTGGGTAGAACGTAGGCTGCGGACCAAAAGAGTCTGAGGTTCGATTCTGGTCTAGGACATGTACCTCAGTTGCAGTCTCCTCCCTGGCCCGGGCCCTGGTTGGGGCTCGCGCAGGAGGCAACCAATTGATGTGTTTCTCTCACATGGCTATTTCTCTGTCTTTCCCTCTCTCTCCCACTCTCTCTAAAAAATCAATGGAAAAATAACCTTGGGTGAGGATTAAAAAAAAAAAGAATACAGATTACCACCACACCATTATAATACACTAAACTTATACTAGAAAGCACCTTCAATGAGTCTTTTTAAACCACGAATTTTCAGTCAGCCCACAATATCGTAGTACAGGTGTGTTGGCTCAAGCTTGATACACATATTCCTAAAAAAGCTCACACATCATGCATGTAATAAATGACAGGGTTCATATAACAGGGATGGGCAGGCATCACACCACCTCTGGAACTTTATGAACAGATACCTAATTAAAGCAATAACAATCCACATAAAAACAGTGCCTCCACTGTCATTCACAGCCAGCATCCCAGTGGGTGCATTCTCTGCAACCTTCCACATGTGGGCTCATGTTCCTCGCTTGATATATAGGTCCTTGAAGAGGCTGGATTACTAAAGAGACCAAGTTCATCAACATAAAAAGTACCATCTAGAGGAGTCTTCAACTTTCTTCTTAATCTCAGAGGAAAATGTCTAGCAGCTTCTTCCTCTGCATTTGCAACTTCTCAAGAGCTTAACTTCTTATAAGGAGGGCACTTCTGTAAGATTTCTAGCTTTTTTCTTAAGGTTTTCATATATTACTAAGGGTTTCTCTTTATCTGTAAGAAAGTCTGCGCTAAGCTCTTCAAAACCATTAGTGAACCAAAAGAAAAAGAAAACTCTCACTTGAATGAACGTTACTCCCACATTTCACTGACACCTTTCATCTACTTACCAATCACATGATAATCTGCATTAAAGAAAGACATGCTGTACCAAAGGCATCATACTAGAAGTATGTTAACACCATAAAAAATAGTTTCACAGATTTAAGATTTAAAATTTTAAATATAAAAAAGGATAAGTTAAAGACACAAAGCAAGTGAAGAAAACACAAGTCATTATCAGACACCCACCAAACCTTGTTGTTTCTTTACTTGTAGTGACCAAAGTCACACTTACATATTTCTTACCATTAACAATATCACCTTCTTGCAAGGGCCGTCGGTCTGGAATTCCATGACAGATAACTTCATTCACTGAAGTACAACAAGACTTTGGGAAATTATAATAATTCAATGGAGAAGGATAGCAATTTCTTGCAATACATGCCTATAATAAATTAAAATATAGAGAAAATAATTTGCAATGTGTAATCTTACCCAATTAACCAGATTTCAAACTTAAAAACTATGGAAGTATTTGTTGTACAGATGCTCTTCAAGGAAAGTTTGCTTAATATTTTATTTTAGAAGAAAAACAGTAGTTGTTACAATAGGGTTTGTGCTTGTCAGACAGACTACAGGCAAAACCAGTCCAAATTCCTGATAATAGCAAAGGAAAAGCAAATTTACATATTATAAATATATACAAATATGAAGATTCTAGTATAGAATTAACTACTTGTGAAAAATGTGTTATTTCAAGTAAAAAGATAATATTTAAGGTAATATTAACATGTACTTTTAATCCTATATAATAAAAGCCTAATATGCTAAGTTGTCCGGTCAACCGTTCGGCCATTCAACCAATCAAAACATAATATGCTAATGATATGCTAAGGCCGTTCAACTGCTCACGTGCACTGACCACCAGGGGGCAGACAATCAATAGGTCAACCAGTCGCTATGATGTGCACTGACCACCAGGGAGCAGTTGACTGGTAGGTTAGCTTGCTGCTAGGGTCTGAGCGAGATGGGCCGGATATGGCCTGGAGACCTTCTGCGGTCCCTCCCCAGCTGACCAACCTCCCGTGTCCCTCTCTGGCCCCGATCGTGTGCTGGTGGGGTCCCTTGGCCTGGCCTGAACCCTCTCACAATCCAGAGGATTTCAGAGAGCCAGTTTTGGCCCGAACCCACAGTCCAGGCCAAGGGACCCCACTGGTGCACTAATTCGTGCACCGGGCCTCTAGTGTAATTATAATTTATTATACAGAATTAGCCTATATACCTATAATCAAAAGATTAGTACTTAGTATACCAGGTGTACCAGTTAATAATGCAAATTTATAATCAAAGAAAACACAATAATTTCAAGAGAAACATCAAAAGTGCTTTATTCAAAGTAATGTCCATCCCTAGCTACACATCTCCCCCATCTTTCAGGTAATTTGTGGATACCATCCCAATAGAACTTTTCTGGTTTTGAGGCAAACTATTCAGAGACCCAAGCAGTAATCTGAAGGAGCAAGGTCTGGTGAATATGGTGGGGGGGTTAATACTTCCCAGGCAAGATCTTTTAATGTGTCTTTAACTGGTTTTGAAGTGTGTGATGGTGCATTATCATGAAGCAAAATTACTTTGCCGTGTCTTCTGGCACATTCTGGTCGTTTTACGATCAAAGTGTGGTTCAAATTGAGTATTTGTTGTCGGTAGCCATCAGTATTAACGGTTTCACCTGGTTTTAGAAGCTCATAACACACCACAACTTCCTGATCCCACCAAACGCAGAGCATTGTCTTCTTGCCGAAGTGATTTGGTCTTGCAATTGATGTTGATGGTTGACCTGGATCAACCCATGATTTTGTGCGTTTGGGATTCTCAAAATAAATCCACTTTTCACCACCAGTCACAATTCGATGCAAAAAAGACTTTCATGCCACTGAAGCAACATTTTAGTGATAACTTTTCGGTTTTCCATTTGTCTTTCATTCAGATGATGTGGCACCCATTTTCCTTCTTTTAAAATCTTTCCCATTGCTTGTAAACAATCGGAAATTGTTTGCTGAGCAACGATTAATCTTTCTGCAAGTTGTTTTTGAGTTTGACACGCATCTTCATCCAATAATGCTTGTAATTGTTGCTCTTCAAACTTTTTTGATTGACCTGGGCATTCTTTGTCTTTTACATCGAAATCATCACTTTTAAAGCATTTAAACCAGCATTCATAAGTATCTTGAGATGGAGCATGTTCACTATAAGCTTCCTGGAGTATACGATAACTTTCAGCAGCACTTTTCTTCAAAATAAAGTAATAAATTAAAATTTCTGCAAATGCTCTTTTTCTGGCACAAAATTCAACATTTTTAAGTTTAAATATATCTATGATGTTAACACCTTCAGCAAATTTGACATATGAAGTTTTGAAGCTTGTTGTCAATACAACAAAATAGCATACTTATCAAATCGCATATATATCAACATATATGTAACCCCATCTATTGAAAAAATTCCACATTATTAACCGGTACACCTGGTCATGTGGAACAACAAAGAAACCTCTAAGAAAATGGTCTGGTTTTCCAAACAAGTCCTATTTTACTAAGATATTTTTACACAGTGGTAGTCACAGCATATATAATTTTTCTTCCCACACTACCACACAGTCTTCAGACTAATAATTTTTAAATAGTGGCACACAATAACTTCATTGGAAATTACACTATTATTTGAAATTTAAATTATTTCCTCAATTACAAAAAATATCACTCTTTGCCAATAACTACCTATCACTTTTGCCTTGCTTAACAATACTATACTTCTATGATTCTCGTGACTAAAAATGCCAACTCCATCACAGGCTGTGTAACCGCAGGAAGTTAACCTCTCTGTCTCAGTTTCCTAACCTATACAATGGAGGTGCTAGCTAGCAGCATCTATCTCGTGGAGTTGTTGAGGGTATTAAGTGAGAAAAGGAGCACGTGAAAGAGCACCTGCCCACAGGAGGACGCAAGGTGCTATTACTGCACACTACGTATTTTATCACATATGGAACAATAACCAAAAGTCAGGGTTTATAAAATTCTGAATATTTTTTAAAAACATTTTTATGCTCAAGACACATTGTCAAATTTCCTTTCAAAAGTGTTGTCCCAATTTACAATCATACCACCACATTTCATCATCCCCAAATAGATAGTGGATATAAGCATTTTAAAAAATACTTATTAATACAGTAGAGCTTCATGATTTGCATTTGTTTGATGACCAGAGAAAATTAGTTTTCCAGGTGATTTCTTAACTAGGTATTGCTCTTCTTTTGTGAAGCATTTATTCATATAATATGTACACTCGTCTACTGTAGGATCTATATCATATTTACTACAAATACAGGGTGGGGCAAAAGTAGGTTTACAGCTATTCGTATGGAAAATAATATAATAATTAATAAATAATACAAGAATAAACTGTGTTTTGTATACTCACAACTATAAACCTACTTTTGCCCCATACTGTCTGTGTCTGGTCTATTTACTGCCTTGTTATTGTGGGTATGAAAGGGACTATTTTTTCCACTAATCTAGTTTCAGAACTTGTATTCTTTTTATTTCAAAGTATTTGATGTATATAGTGGCATGATTTAGTTCAAACACCAATAAATTAATCATTTTATAACAGCTAAACTAAAATGTTATGAAATGTGAGGTTTCAGAAACAAGGTATTTTACAGACACTTAAAGACAGAAATAATGACCGCTGAATATTTTCCACATTTAAAACAAAGTAAAAATTTGCTTTCAAATTAACATAGCCAAGTTACTTTAGACATTCAGAACTTAAGTTTAATTTTTAGTAGTCTAAAACATTAAATAATGCGAAACATTTTCAAACATAAAAGTAAAGTCCTTACTAAGTGCACAGCATGATCTATTTCTTCAGTAGTTACACCTGGTTTAATCATCCCAGCAGCAATGTCCAGGACTTCTCTAGCAAGCTGTAAAAGAGAAACCCTTCTTACATTTCAGAAGAAAGGAAATAAAAACAGAAATCTGTACCTTCTGCCCTATCACAGATTTTGTGAAGATTCATAAAGTGCACCTCACCTTAAAGGTTATAATCCTGCAGCTCTATTTTAAAACCATTTGTATTTCTAATGTCCATCAATACACGTGTGTGTAAATACATAAATAAAATTGGGCTAGCTAGTAAATAGCTTAATAAGTAAGTCTGATTTCTATGTGAAAATGCACATGTTAAGTAGTCTACACAATGATCAACTGGTAGAGATTGAGTCCTGTCATATTTCTGTAATGGGGAAGAAAAGGGAAGTAAAAGAATAGATGATTTCCTTCAAAGAATCACAGCACATGTGATGGAAACAAAATTTCTCCAGATTATCAAAGAAAATTAGTATCCAATCACTTTTAAGCACTGAATAAAAACTTTAAGGATCATTTCTAAATCAGCAATATCACCCTAGCCGGTTGGGTCAGTGGCTGGAGCATTGGCCTGAGGACATAAGAGTCATGATCCTGGTCAAGGCAATGTATTTCAGGTTGCAGCCTTGATCCCCCAGCCCGTTTGGAGTGTGAGTGGGGGGCAACCAATCAATGTGTCTCTCTCACATCCATGTTTCTCTCTTTGTCTTTCCCCTTCCCTTCCACTCTCTCTAAAAATCAATGGAAAAAAATATCCTCAAGCGAGGATTAAATAAACAACAAACAAACAATAGCAATTCTTCCTTTTTTCTTTAGAAAAATGTGAACATGTGACTTCACTTAATGAGTATCAGCCTAAATCCTACACTGCATCGGTATTTCACAATAGGATCGTTAGCTGAACTTTAAGCCTTAAACTCTGCCCTAAGTTATAATGACTTGTGAAAATAAGATGACAAAATGTCACAAAAACTAGATTCTTTAAAAATATAAGGGATAACAGAAAGACTCTCAGCTGAATATATACTTCCTGCCATATTAATTTTCAAATAGGTTATTTAAGTAGATAACAGCTGTTGTACAGAACTATATACTAACAATCCTATCTAATAAAGAGCTAATATGCAAATGGTCATCAAGCCCTCACGCCATCACAATCCATCACCAGGAGGCTGTGTGCACAGCGGGCAGGAACTTGACGCTGCATGTGTGGCAGAGGCGGGTCCCGGTGGCACTGCGTGGTGAGGCCTGGGGGTCCCGTGGCTCCACGTGGCGTGGAGGCAGGACCCCGTCTCCAGCCTACCTCTTTGGGGCAATCCATCAAGGAGCCCCAGATGGGTGGGCGGGGCTTATATCTTTGGGGCGATCAATGATGGGGCTCCCGCACTGTGAGAGGCCACAGGCCAGGCTGAGAGACCCCCCACCCCGAGCGCATGAATTTCGTGCACCAGGCCTCTAGTAGTTTAATAAAAAGCAAGTACGGCTAGCCAAAGCCTTACTACAGAGCACGTCTGCCCTTTGTAATTCAGCAAGTCACTGCCTTCCTGTCTAGTAACTGCTGAAACATGCTCTAACCCATGAGGTAAAAAACTTACCCTACATACGAGTCGCATCCCTTCTATATCTTCCGCTGAGAGTAATTTAATTTGAGAAGTACCCTTAAGAGCTTGTTCAGATTCAGACATTCCTGGAAAGGAAAATCAGTAAATAAAGCCAAATGAATGGGAAGATATAGTATTAGGCATAATTATCTCCCTGATGACATAATAATAGTCAAGTTTTACTATTTCACATAATGATATTTCATAATTTAGAAGGATTCTGGTTGGATTTTTTTTGAAAAAATATTTTCAACATGAAAAAAATAATTGCTAAGTAAACTGAAGGGCGAATACTAAAGAAGAAATTTACAGATCTATGAGAATTCAGTCAATATGGAGTACTTATTACATAACAGGCAGTGTGATAGTAAAGGTTAGTAAATTATTCACATTTGAATAGTACCGCACAATTTACAAACTGCTTTCATGACCATCATCTAATAAGGAAACTATATACCACAACTGATGAGTCAATTATACACATTTATTTTTTTTAATAGGAACCTAAGTCAGTGTTTTTCAAACTGCTGTTTGTGATCCATAAAGTAAATAAATGGAATAGAAAATAACAGATTATATTGTATAGGGTAGGGGTAAGTACTGTTATGAAATGTTTGTTAATTTACACACACACACATGCGCGCGCCTATATACAGATCGTATTATAAAATATATTTCTCACTTTGGGTTACAGTAAAAAGTATTAAAAAAAATACTTGAAAAATACTGCCCTAAGAATCTTCATTAATAAAATTACCTTAACTCCAATTATTCATATATTTAAAAACATTAAAGCCAGTATAATAATTATTTCAAAATCTGACAAAAAGAATATAACAAACCATAATCTAATATTTTTAAATAAATGTGGATAGCCCTGACTGGTTTGGCTCAGTGGATAGAGCATCGGCCTGTGGACTGAAGGGTCCCAGGTTCGATTCTGGTCAAGGGCATGTACCATGGTTGTGGGCACATTCCCAGTAGGGAGTGTGCAGGAGGCAGCTGATCGATGTTTCTCTCTCATCGATGTTTCTAACTCTCTATCCCTCACCCTTCCTCTCTGTAAAAAATCAATAAAATATATTACAAAAAATAAATGCTTTATCAATAAAAAAAGTAATAATAATAAATGTGGATATAAAAATCCGAATTAAAATATTATTAAACAGAATCCAAAATACATATAATACCCCATGACATAAGTGGAAAAACACATTAACAAATCTATTAATATAATTCCTCACAGACATAGATTAAGGAAGGAAAAATAAATGATCATCTAGAAAGATAATTCTGATAACATGGTCAGCATGTCAAATATAAATCTCAAGCCAGCAACCCATATCATGGAATGCCCACTTCAGCACCACTATTTATAACATTGTTCTGACAGTACTAGCAGGTATGTTAAACAAGAAAAAGAAATAAGACATATTAAATTAGAAAGAAAAGGACAAAATCTTTATCAATTTCAGATATGATTATATATAATCATATCCCTAAAATAAGGGGACACCTGGTGAATGACTAGAAATAATAATTTAGCAAGTTGGCAGATTGTAAATTAAATATGTCAAAATCAACAGCTTGCCCATATACAAACAATGAGCTAGAAAATAGAGAAGATACTATTTACAATAACAACTAAAAAAGATAAAATATCCAGAAATTAACTTAATACAAGACCTAATGAAGAAAGTTTTAAAATACCACTGAGATAAATAGACTTAAATAAAATAGAAAAACATACCCTGATCTTGGATAGGAAGACTCAATATTGTAAAGGTGTCAATTCTTCCAAAATTAGTCTATAAATTTAATACTATCCCAATTAAAAAATGGCAACAGGGTATTTTGGGGACAAGCTAATTCCAAATTTCACATGGAAAAACAAACATGCAAGAATAGCCAGGAAAATTCTGAAAAAGAGGAAAGGTGGGGGCAACAAGGCCTACCAAATATTAAAACATTATACAGCTATAATAATTAAGAGTTTGCAATGGCACATGATTAGACAAATGGGTTAATGAGACAGAATAGAATCCAAAAACAGACTCAAAGACTTGCGAAAATTTAATATAATTGTATAGGCAGCATTTTAAATCAGACAAAAAAAGGACTGATATTTTAAATAACTAATGGTGTGACAACCAGATGTTTTTCAAGGGAAAAATAAAGTTACATTTGTATTTAATTCCTAATACTAAATAAAAATGTTATCACACATAAAAAGAGTGAAGCCATAAAAATAGTAGAAGAAAGAAAATGAAAAAATCTATACTAATAAAAGCATAATATGCTAATTAGACCGAACATCCTTCCAGATGAAGCTGGGGCTGCGAGGGAAGCCCAGGTCCTGGGTGCCTGCTGGCGGCCGGAGGGAAGCCCGGGTCCTGGGTGCCAGAGGGAAGCCGGTGCCAGCAGCCGGGAGAAGTAAGGCCTACTCTTGCACAAATTTCATGCATAGGGCCTCTTGTCGTTTTATAATAATCTCTGAATCAAAAAAGTCTTCCTAAGTCATTAAGCTATAAACACCTCAAAGAAAACATTGATAAATTTTATTATAGAAAAATGTTGGAAGTTTGCCCTAAATGTAATGCTATAAACAAAGACAAAATGTTCAGTTGGGAAAAACCTTTTATAGAACACACATCAAAGGATTATTTTCCTTAGTAGAAAAAGAACACTTATAAATCAGTATGGAAAAAAACTAGTAACCTAATTGGGAAAGGGCTAAGATGAATAGACAGATGTATAAAAAGATGTTCAATCTTCTTCATAATTTAAAAATACAAATTAACACAAAATATCATCTTTCAGATTAGCACAATTCATATAGTTTGAAAACACTCTATGTTAGGGAAGATAAGGAAAAAAAGACTCCTATATGATTTTTAATAAAAATGACAACTGGCAAAATTGCTAAAATTTGTTATAGCTCTCAAAATAAAAAAATACATGTATTCCTTGATCTAGGTGTTTTACTTTAGTCAACTGATCTACAGAAATACTCTCACATGCAAGAATAGTTACTATAATCAAACAAGTAAAAACCTGGAAATAATCTAAACATACATTAGGAGGAACCTCGTTTAATAAATTATGATGTATCCACATAATGAAATACTTGTCATTAAAAAGAATATTTATAACATCTATTAAGAAAATAAAACAAGGTGAAAATAAAAAAGAATAAAGCATGGTGAAAAAGGTGTATATAGTTTGGTCTGTGTATAATTGGGGTGAGGGGCTAATGTGCATACACATGCAAAAGATCTCTGGAGCCCTAGCCGGCTTGGCTCAGTGGATAGAGCGACAGCCTGCAGACTGAAGGGTTCCAGGTTCGATTCCGGCCAACGGCACATGCCTGGGTTGCAGGCTCGATCCCCAGTGTGGGGTGTGCAGGAGGCAGCCGATCAATGATTCTCTCTCATCATTGATGTTTCTATCTCTCTCGCCTTCTCCCTTCCTCTCTGAAATCAATAAAGAAATATATATTTTTAAAAAAAAGATCTCTGGCAAGTTTTGCAAGAAACTGTTAATAGTGATTCTACCTCTGGGGAGTAGGACTTACTTTTCACTACGTAACATTTTATCCTATCAGAATTTACCATGTCTATGTTGATTTTAAAACTACATTAAGCCCTGACTGGTTTGGCTCAGTGGATAGAGCGTCAGCCTGCGGAGTGAAGGGTCCCAGGTTCGATTCCAGTCAAGGGCTTGTACCTTGGTTGTGGGCACATCCCCAGTAGGGGGTGTGCAGGAGGCATCTGATCAATGTTTCTCTCTCATCCATGTTTCTAAGTCTCCATCCCTCTCCCTTCCTCTATGTAAAAAATCAGTAAAATATATTGCGGAAAAAAACTACATTAAAAAATATTAAATAGCCCTAGCTGGTTTGGCTCAGTACAGCAAGTGTCGGCCTGTGGACAAAGGGTCCCAGGTTCAATTCCTGTCGAGGGTACGTGTCCCGGTTGCGGGCTTGATCCCCAGTGGGAGGGTGTGCAAGAGGCAGCCAATCAATGATTCTCATCATTGATATTTCTATCTCCCCCACCCTCTCCCTTCCTCTCTGAAATCAACTTTATATATATATTTAAAATACAGCCTGGCTGGTGTGGCTCAATAGTTGAGCGTTGACCCATGAACCAGGACAGGGCACATGCCTGGGTTATAGTCTCGATCCCCAGCAGGAGGCAGCCAATCAATGATTCTCTCTCATCATTGATGTTTCTAATGTCTCTCTCCTTCTCCCTTCCTTTCTCTGAAATCAATAAGAACCTATTTTTTAAAAATATTAAACACAGAGTAATGAACTTATACATCCTCAAGAGCTATCTATCATTCAGACTATCTTTTCCTTCAATGTATCTGAAATAGTGAAGTTTAAGTTTTTAAATTATATTCATAAAAATGCAATATGGTTCGCCACTTCTTAGAGAACAATGGCAACTTAACAGATTAAACCACAAGAAAATGAATATTCAACCATTTTTGACATGCAAAATCAGTAATTTCATATAATCCACTTAAGTTATGCCGACAGGCCCTACAATCTGAGACTGTTCCACTTGTGCTACAAATTACCTATCTTCTCTGGGTCTCTCACCATCATTATCTATAAAATGGAGAAGACAACAGAATCTACCCCAGAAGTAACACGTGAGAACTTAGCATAGTGCCTGACATATAGTTATGAACAAATATCACTTACAGAATCATCATCAGTACTACTGTAATCATTGCCATCGATACTAGGTTCTATTACTTCTACAGACCAATCTTTAGTTAGGCATTCATTTGAGGCCTCCACAATCTGTTTTTATCTAAATACGTTTTATTTAATTAAAGTATAGAACATGTTAAATCAAATTGATTTTTTTAAATCTAGAATTCGATATAAAAACACAAAATTCAATATTATGTTGAATGTAGTCTTAACATCTGAACATTACTTTCAGAATTGGGTAGTGAAAGGGCGAGGGCTACGCCCTCCATCTTACCCTGGATCCTCCATTTTTTGGGCAGCAGCCTTAGCCATGTGCTCGGCAAGGAGCTTCTTCCCGGAAGCCCAAGCCTCTGCTAGCCACACCTAGGATTTCTTTAAACTAACCAATGACAATCAAGGGAAGTGCCCGCCATAGACACAATCACATCCTGTGTAACAAGACTCTGACTTGTGCCTGGCCAATCAGCAGGGCCCACAGTCCTCTCTCCTCCCCTTACTCCAACCACCGTATAAAACCCCTCTCCCCACAGAGCTCTCTCTCTCTGCCGCTTGCCAGTGCATCAGTGAGTGTGATCGGGGAGCCGAGCTAGCTCAAATAAAGACTCTTTGCTTTTGCATCGGACTCCGCTGGCTCCCTGGTGGGCTTTTGGGGATCCTGAAATCTGGGCATAACAGGTAGATTTCTTGAAAAGAGTCTTTTAATTTTCTCAAATGTTCTAGTGTGTCTTAAAAAGCTATGTTTACATTTACTAGAAATCCAGCGCTAAAACAAAAATAAACAAAACGAAAAGAAATCCAGCACTGAAAAATTTTCCAAAGAAAAGCAATCCTTTCTTTGCAGCGGTCATCAGGCTCACAAGCTGAAAACTGAGGAATCAGCATCGAAAAACTCACCTAAAGGATGATCAGCATAATCTGGTCTTTGAATATAACTTGGCACGGGCCTGGTTGGCATCTAAAAACATCGAAAGATATGTGTTAGTTAAAACCAATTCAAATCGGAAAGCAATTATCACTATTAAAATTTACTAACAAAAGAAATAAAAGTGAGGAAAAGACTAAAAAGTTCATTCATTTCATTTAAATGAAAAAAGTTTTAAATGACATCTTAATTATCACAATATATCTATTTCATGAAGATTAAGCTTCATTTTCCTAGTGCTAATGCCACTTAAATATCCTAAGAGGGGAGGGTGGCCAGGGCTATTAAGGATTTAACATCACAAGCAGACAACAAGGTACCCATGTTGTTCCGAACAAGCTGGCAAACCATCAACAACAATAAATTACATCGCTAAGTAAATATACACCATTATGTTGATTATTATCTCTGGGAGCTAGGCTTAAAAAGATGTTCTTATGTTGTTGATATTTGCCCCAAATTTTTAAAGATGTATTCTTTTTATTTAAAAAAAATCAGTAAAAATTTTTTAAATATTTGTGGATGACAAATAGATTTCAAATTAAATGGATTCCTATGTTAACGTGCTGAAGCCCATCTGGCAAGAACATAGGAAGGAGTAGGAGTGGCAGGAAAGCCCTATCAAAATTACGGTAGAACTATATCACGTTAAACAATTTTAGAAAGGTAGCAATATACGCTACCACCACGCCAGCCAGAAAATATCTATTCTACCATTTTCTTTTTTAAGATTAAAGAAGTTTTAATCCTTTCACCTAAAAATTTTTTCTTCTTCCAGAATAGCCAATTATCCCTATTAACTTCTAAATAATGTTCCATAAAAAGAGCTAGAATGTGAACTTAATCCTGGTTATATAATTCATAACTGGAATACAACTTACAGGTATCATTTTTAGTAAACTGAAAATTGGTTTTAAGAACGTTAAGTGTTTATTGCTTTATTTACTCACCAGTGGATAATGTGGTCGGAGTTTGCCCGTGTACCGATAACCTGCCCATGGGTCAGTGTTAATATCACCTTCTAGGCTCCAGGAAGACAATTCCCGCTTTGCCTTTTCATCTTCTACGTGATAAATGGATGAGAGAAAAAGACAGAGAGGGAGAAATGCTTCAGTGTCAAACTACTGAGCAGCAGCATTCTTTAACTGTAACTTGTGTGAACACCACACCAAAGAGTATACAGGTACAAAAGCCCAGCAAATTCCCGCCTTAGCCTATCTCACCAAAGCTATTGTTTTCTTGCTATGTTTACAACCCTATAATACCTCAAAGATCCGTGTGTCTTGTGAGAAAAAGCCTAAGCTAAACATATTGTAAGTTTTTATACACTATTGACTAGGAACAGCTCATAGTAGAATTCCTTTCCTCAAGCAAATGCTCAATGTATACTCTCTACAAGATCAATGTATAGAAAGCCCATTTTGAAGAATAAAGTCTGAGCCAAGGCAATATTTCAAATTGCTTTAAAAAATTTATAAGCATCATTTGCCTTTTCTCAGTACAGGGTAACAGAAGAAATTAGAAAAAGGTAAAGATAAGGGGAGGGAATAATCAGTAGAAAATTACTGAAACCTCAGTAGAAAAATTTAAGAATCACACACACACCCCTTACCAGGTTATAGTTATTAATACATAATGTTGCATTTAGTGAAATGTACCTAAGACTCATTTTCACACAGAACAGACCAGCCCCTCTATGGTATCTCATATCAGCAAACTGACCATACCTCCATCTACAATGTAAAAAAAACAACAACACTAAATAGACCTTGAATAGCAGGAATTAAATCCCTCAGAGTGTCAACCTACATACCTCCCAAGGCACACCCTTCTTTTCTTGATTACTGCCATGCTATCACAAGTTTTGAAAGTCAGGCTTTAGATCATTTTAGAAGTGTATGAGAAAAATAAAACTCCCCCTTTACAAAATATATTTAAAGTACAAAATAGGGAAGAAAAGATGAAATCATACCATATTAAGCTAATGAGGAATGGTGAAATTGATGAAGTTGGTCAAAAGATACAAAATTCTAGTCATAAGAAATACGTTCTAGCGATGGAATGTACAGCATGGTGACTAAAGTCAACAAAAATATAATCCAGTCAAATGTCCTCATTTTACAGATGAGGAAACTGGGTAAGGGGAGGTTCCAGTAGCCAATCCATTCACATTACTCTGGAAGATAATACAATGATAATATTACATATAAAGTAAAGAAACAGAAAAGAATGAGAATGGAAAAACAAAAGAAAAGCTCTACTGTGCTACTGAATTTTAAATATCTTTCTCACGTAAGGAATTGAAGAAAGCCATGGTGAATGTTAATGTCAATAGGAAAATTATCTCTCACCCCAGGACAAAACTGGACTGCATTCATTGCCTCAGGGTCAAACATTACAGAAATACTTAGAGATGCAGGCCCACTGATGCCTGCTTCAGCTATGAAGAGCATCATCAAGTGCTTTTGTCTGGAATATGAACTGCAATAACAATTTCCACCTGAAACCTAGGGCAGAATAACAAGATGTAGGCTTTTGTTTTAACATACTCCTGTGGAGGCAGCAAGGAAAAAGAAAGATATAAAATCTTTCAAAGCTTCCAGCTGATCTGCATTCCAAGTTTTCCACAATCTATTTTCAAAAGAGAATTAAAAGCAGACCTCAAACAAATAATAAATATAACCAAAAGATTCCTAGATGAGATTGAAATCTGGCAAGTTCTTTTTGAATAATTTACTTAGGAAAACGTCCACTTTAAAAGTCAGTTCATTTACATTTTAGGGTCAGTCTGAGCTGAGGCCTAAGAGCTAGACCAGGGGTGGGCAAACTTTTTGACTCGAGGGCCACAATGGGTTCTTAAACTGGACCGAAGGGCCGGAACAAAAGCATGGATGGAGTGTTTGTGTGAACTAATATAAATTCAAAGTAAACATCATTACATAAAAGAGTATGGTCTTTTTTTTTTTTTAGTTTTATTCATTTCAAACAGGTCGGATCCGGCCCACGGGCTGTAGTTTGCCCACAGCTGTGCTAGACACATAATGGACACCTAATTCAGCTGAACTGGACTTGGGGTTGGTAACAAAATTGCAAACTAAATGATCTTTTTCAAAAAGCTGTGAAAGCACAGGACAGTGTAAATAATACCTGAAAGCTGAATCTCACACACACATCTGGATGAAACAGGACCAGGTAAGAGGACCTGTTCCGTCCACAGTCTGGTTCAAAGTACATCACATCCAGGCTTTAGTCTTTAAAAGGTTCTGTGCAGGTTGCCTCCTCTGGTCAGCTGACACAACATGACTGCCTATACCTAAGCTTTGCATAAGACAGGATCATCTGATCACAATTCTGACTCAGTTCTTCGAGAAATGACTATTAAGTAGCTGTGCAGCACTTACTATGCACTGTACGTATGCTAAGCATTTTGCATGGATTTAATCCTCACAACAGACAAAATTTCAGCATTTTGAAGGTGAGGCTCAAAGTAATGTATGCTCGCAAGTCTTTGGTGGAATCAATTCTGAAACATTACATAAAACCTTCACTCTGCAATCCAAAAATCAAGCACTCTAGTTTTGAGGGTAGAGGAGTGATTATTTAGATTTGGTTAGTTGCTGTTTTTTTAAAGGAATTTTTACAGCATTTTTGGGGCTACTCAAAAGACAGCTATCAAATGCTTCCACCTCTTACTTTAAGAAATGGGAGACAAGCACACTGAATAAATCAGTGATACATAAAATATCCTAATATATAAAAAGCCAGGGGCTGTCATGACTGAAACAACCAGACGGATGACTGAACAGCAGGCTGCATGGGCCGACCAGGCCGGCAGGGGTGGGGGGCAGTTGTGGGGTGATCAGGCTGGCAGGGGGGGAAGTTAGGGGTGATCAGGGAGGCAGGCAGGTGAGCACTTAGGAGTCA